AAATATATTTTAATAAAATAATTGCCGCAATGTTGTGGAGCATAGTACACATGAGAAGAGCAGCACAGCAACATTGAGGGGGAAATCTTACAGCTCCCAAGCACTTGTGCAGGCACCAGGATCACATCTTCCACAAGCCCAAAGCACCCTCTACAGCAGTGTGTGTTCTTTGATGTGCGGTGTTATACCTCACTTCAGCCGCAGTTGGGGGATTTAACACAGGAGTCAGCAGGTATTCGCTAACAGGATACCTACTGTCCCCCAATAACCAGCCACCAGCAAGCACACCATCCTTTGCCATCTGACACACTCAAAAGCTGGACCAGATATAAACATCATGTGTCCTCCCAGGCCATTTGGCGACAATGTCTATAAAATGTCCTTGATGGTTGCATATCACCTGGAAATTTAGGCCTAGTGCCAAGAAGCCTTTTTGACAGGTGCTTATTGAATATTGAAATATTAAGCTGTATTGTTAAAGCTGCACTTACACTATGTTTATGAATTTATGCAAAATTCTGTTTTAATTCTACTTCCTTATATTCAAAGTCCAATTGCATTTCTGCAGCATGTTTTCAACCAATTTATGAATTGAATTTGATTTTCAAGGTCATTCTCAAGTCAATTCTGAGTGCTGCACATCCCTGTTATCTACTCAAATTGCATAGAGGTGTTACAACAACTTGCTTATTTGTGCTAATTTATAGTCGACATTATAGTTTTATATTTCAATCTAACCTCTTATTAGATCATCAGCATTTTTACGTTGTCCAAAAAAGCACGTCAATGTGTTTTTGTTATCTATTTTGGCCGACTCTGTGACAGGACAGCAGGCAAAAGTTCAAATAAAGAACGACGTAAAAAATAACGAGCGGGTCGAAGCACTCGTAAATCTACGAACAAGATAACAAATTACTTTTAGTTACGAAGGGTTACTGGAAATGTGCGCTAATTGACAATCGATCTTAAGTATGAGATAACAAAGTACTTAGTGTTACAAACCTTTCTGGAAAGCCACCTCTGAGCCAGGAGCCTCCAACCCCAAAGGTCTGACTCTAAAGGCAGTTTCTGGAACATTAGGTGGCGTGTGCGTACAGGCCAGGATCACACTCCCCTGCTTCTCCCCGAGAGCTGGGTTCAGCAGCTGTATGTAGGGCAGCCAGTGACGTGCGATGCTCCTCAGGTGCTTCTGGAGAGCTCCCCAGCGCTGCTGCTAAAGGTTAGCGCTGAGGATTTGTGCTCCCTCTGGTGCTGAAATCGTCCTGGACTCCTGGCTCTCTGTGAGCAGTCTGCCTCCTGTTTGTGAATTCTCTGGTTATGATCTTTGGAGGACAGAAACACATATGGACGAACCCCACTGCCCTCCGGCAAACATTAAATAAAATACATGCAGCCGTGCCTGGAAACTCACAGATAGTACTTATGTGTTTCTTATTACTGTTTATGGCAGTGTTTCTTAATCCGGTCCAGTCCATGTTTTTGCTCCCACCCAGCTTGTGTCCTAAAATCTGGCAGGGTGCATGGAGGGAGCAAAAACATGGACCGACTTTAGATCCCAGAGGAACGGATTGGGAAACACTGATTTATGGATAAGAAAAAATGTGAAACGTAAAAATAACTGTATGAAAGGAGTTACCTTTATGCATCATGGAAATCATTGCTTTCATGTATTCTATACAAAAAAATCATCATCATATATCCCTGGGTCATTGTCAACTTTTTTATTTTTTATTTTATTATATCTGTAAATCAATAAGAAGTTGACCAGAATCTGTAATTGCATATGTTTAGTATTTTTGTATTATATTCGCTGCTTTTAAACATGCAACGTAACCAACGACAGAACAAAAGAAAAGAAACTAGATTTGAAAATGGTTTATTGCTGTTCTCAAGGGCGAGTGCAGTTATCTGGTATGTGTTGTGCTGTGAACAGGTTAATCGCTTGCACACTTTGCTCATTCATTCACTCATGGCCCAGAAAACCTGACCTTCAGAAATACTAAGATGTGCCCACATCACTAAACAAGGCCAGCACTCAGGATGAGACACTGATTGACTCATGAGAGTAAAAGACAATGATTGCAGCAGGAAACACACTGGAGATCCTGTAACCTCTCAAGAGGGTGTCTTTAGCTGCACATTACCCACAGTGATTGGTCTTGTTCTTTCAGTGAAAATATGTGGACAAACAGTTTCTGCTTGTGATAAAACTGAAACCAACCACAAAATGTTTCCCAATGACTCAAATAAAGATAAATTCCCTTTTTGATGCCCATTGTAGAACCTTTTTGACAGGCATCAAAGATGAGAAAAGCTATACATCATTTTTCACGATGAAGTTCATGGTCCACAAAAGGCAAGTCAACCTGAATGAACCGCATTTTAGCTGAAAGTCACGTAAAGGCGAAGTGTTGGTTGTTTTCCCCACAATTGCCTGCGGTGTCCTTTAAAGGTCACTATTAGTCAGCCTGTGCATCACTCAATCCCTGTTACACCATGCTGATAGGTGTGACTGTTTCACATCTTGTGAAGTTTCAGAGGGCAAGACCAGGGCAATAAAAAAAGAGTAATTCTGCAACAAAAAAAAATCACATATTCTACCTCAGACCGCTTGCTGTTTAATTTTGTTGCATTCCAGTACTGAGTGGTACAGACAAGTTGCTGAGTCAGTAAAGTAAAGCGTGAATATCTAGCCTTTTTTTTTAAGTTCCTTAACTAAACACTCCAATCCATCTAATTTCTGATGCTCCAAATCTTTCATTCCTGATCCACCAAATCCAGTGGTGGAATCTTTTAAGGTGGTTTAAGTTGCCATTCCAAAGCCAACCCAAGAATCATCTGACTTTAATCTACCTGTCAGTGCCCTCAATGGCTGTTCAGGAAGAGCTTTTGGTAGAAGGGACACAACAAAAGATTGTAGCTACGTGTCACAGATAATCCAACTGCTTCCATTTAGAGATCGAGATGTCATTTTACGCAGAGAACATGAGTAGGTAATGTTTTCAATCAAATGTTTAATTTTACTTTACACAAAACATCTTCTGTACTGTAGCTTTCATAGAGGAACTGGGATGATGGAATCTGAGAGTATTGATTTTTCCTATTCTGGATAATTATCCTTCATGATAGGCATCGGTGTATCTCGCTCACAAGTCATGCCTTGTCATAATCAGACTGATTAATTGAGCTAGAGATCTTTAATGAGCCGGCCGTCAGTATTCAAAATACTTCTATCGACAAGATTTTTGAGATTGGACGATATCTCAATAACTGTCTAGATACAGGCCTATTGTCTGAACTGACTCCAGCTCACAGAGACATTCTTCATTGGCTGAAGCTTGCTTGCTCTCACCTATTACGCTGTTATTTAGGGGGATGAGAGCCAGCTGGTATTATTGGGACCCCATTGTCTAGAGCTTCAGGCTATTGCCATAGACATCAAGATGAAGATATTTTTATGTGTTTGTTTTAGTGTTATCTGACAGAAAGCAAGAGGGAGTGATATGAAGAGAGCAAGCATTAGGAGATGGTGTGCGAGTTTTGCTAGAAATAGTACCAATAGTACAAATACTGTAAAGTACTGTGAATGGAAAGGGTATTAAAAGTTACACTGCTGTGATATTGTGGATGCTCTGACTGCGTACCGCCTGTGCTACAAATGGCTAAACCCAGTGAAAGGTTGCTACTTTAATGGTATATTGGTATTGTATAAACTTGTGTAAATGGTACAGGGGTCATGTGTACAGGACACTGGAATGCTGCTTTGAGCAGCCTTATTTGTTGGTTGTTTACATCCTAATTCGAACAGCCACCTCTGCAGAGGTCAAGGGTGCAGCACTGCAAGAGTGAAATTGGTATTCAGCAGGAAAGGAGCTTCTGTTACTCTTGAGTGCCACACATTTGTGGTATAATTAAGTAAACATAACACTAATCATTCCACCAGCTTGAACTGCGTAATGTAAGACTTGGAAACGTGCATATTTATTCTTACTTAGTAATTTCTTGTGTGTTTTTCCTGAATGTGGTTTTGAAATTCTTTTGCCCTGTAATGTCAGTCTCAGTCGAGCTATGATTGTTTTTACTTCATTCTCCAAAAACCCCCTGCTTTTTCAAGTCAAGTCAAATAGATCTCATTGTCACCCCATCCATATACAGTGTAGAAATAGCGTTCCACTGGGACCACAGTGTGATATACAAACAGCAAGTAACAAGGGGTGGGTTTCACCATACTTAAAGTGCTTAAAGTGCATACTTAAACCTAAAAAAACAGAGGGCTGTGCGAAACGGGAAGGCCAGACACAAGATTTTGGCAATAACAATCATTTAGCAGCATTTTTTGGAGTCAGAGTAACTGTTAAATGCTACATATTTGTTTGAATTGGAGTGGTTGCTAAGTGCTACGTATTTGCTGGAATTGGAGTGGTTGCTAAGTGCTACGTATTTGCTGGAATTGGAGTGGTTGCTAAGTGCTACGTATTTGCTGGAATTGGAGTGGTTGCTAAGTGCTACGTATTTGCTGGAATTGGAGTGGTTGCTAAGTGCTA